ATTGAAGGACATTTAAATTGGTCCACACTTTTGTCATAAACAATGCTGCAGTGAGCATCTTTTTCACATATATCTTGTGCAGCTGCGTCATTCATTCCTCAGAATGAATTCCTGAGTTTGTTGGAATAATCTAGTCAATGAAACATATATAAAATAAATAAAACACATTTTAAAAACAAGCATGTGTAGCTGTTAGACAACAATGTATTTTCTTAGTACTTCTCTTTTCAGTTATAATGGGATCGCACTTATACAGAGAAAGTCTTCCATCTTGAAATATAAATCTTAAAAAAAAATGATTTTGGGAGATGTGAATATATTTGCCCCTTCGTATTTCTGCTCTAAGGTACCTATGGCTTCCTGGGATTCTAACATCTTATTGTATTTAAACAAATCTCTTTCATAATTTCAGAACTGGCCTAATCTCTTGATAAGAAGAAAAATGCTTTTTTCCAATATTTTCTTTTGATATTGTGAAAAGAAAGCAGAAAGAAGTGGGAGGAGCGGTTGGGGGGAAGAGAGAAGGAGACAGAGAGGGAGAGAGAGAAGGAGACAGAGAGAGAGAACTAAAGGGAAAAAACAAAGTATAGGCAAACCTTTTGAGACTTTAATTTCTCCACTCTTTCAAGTTTGTAGACGGTAATTCATGGTCTCAGGGCAGGTATGTGGCAGGTAGAAAGCAGAACCATCTGAAAGATGTTCCTGGCTTTGTTTCAAAAAGTCTATTCCAAATGAGAATAAATTCCCCAGGAAATTCCCCTGGTCTGGTATTAGAAGTGGTTCACAATCAGCCAGGTGCAGTGGCTCACACCTATAATCCTAGCACTTTGAAAGGCCCAGGTGGGAGGATCATTTGAGCTCAGGTGTTTAAGACCAGCCTGAGCAACACAGGGAGATCCCATCTCTACCAAAAATTTTTAAAAAATTAACTAGGCATGGTGGTGTGTACCTGTGATCCCAGCTACTCGGGAGGTTGTGGTGGAAGGGTCCCCTGAACCTAGGAGGTTGAGGCTGCAGTGAGCTATAATCATACCACTGGATTCCAGCCTGAACAATAGAATGAGAACCTGTCTCAAAAGAAAAAAAAAAAAGAGAAGAGTTTCATAATTTCAGAGCAACAGTGACCCAGGCCTTGATTACTGACAGTGTCTCAGGGAGGCAGCAAGATTTAGAGAAGAATATTTGTAGGTGGGGATCATAGTAGGGCTGTCAGATAAAGGGCAGGGTGTCTAGTTAAAATTAAAATTTATATAAATACTGAATACTTTGTTTAATTTATAGTTTTTGAGACGGAGTCTCTCTCTGTCACTAGGCTGGAGCACAGTGGCGTGATCTCGGCTCACATCCGACTCCCTGGTTCAAACAATTCTCCTGCCTCAACCTCCCAAGTAGCTGGGATTACATGCACGTGCCACAATGCCCAGCTAATTTTTGTATTTTTAGTAGAGATGGGGTTTCACCATGTTGGCCAGGATGATCTTGATCTCCTGACCTCGTGATCCACCCACCTCAGCCTCCCAAAGTACTGGGATTACAGGAGTGAGCCACCACGCCCGGCCATTTGTTTGATTTTTTAAATTCATGTATTTATTTTTTTACTCTGTCAAGTTTCTGGAAAAGACTTTATTAAACATTTTTTTTTCCAGTTTTTAAAATTATTTGTAGAGATGATGGGATCTCACTATGTTGTCCAGACCAGTCTCAAACTTCTGGCCTCAAGTGATACTCCTACCTCTCCAAAGTGTTGGGATTATAGGCATGAGCCACCACACCTGGCTAATAATGAATAATTGTGTAGTATGTCTAAAATATTTCATGCAACGTACTTATGCTAAAGTATTATTTATTTGTCTGAAATCCAAATTTAATTGGACATCCTGGGTGTTTGGTTGTTTGGTTTTTGCTAAATCTGGCAATCCTAGGTCACACGCACCTCAGAGTTCAGTGTGGCATGAGACAGAGATGCCCGTGGCCCATGCACAGTCTGGCATGCATCAAAAAACTACTGGGTCTGGGTCTATACAATCAAGGGCAGTTCATATCTTAGTGGTAAACAGCATGGCTAGATCCCGACGACTATGCCCCAGTGCCTTGCCACCATGTGAGGCCCAAGAACTGGGTCCAGTCTGGTATAGGACAGGCAGATCTTTCCAGAATGGTTGAGGCTGAATTTCTGATTTGCTCATTTAGATGAAGTATTAGAGTAAAAATTTAGCTTCTAGAATATTTAAAGCCACAATCCATATACATCCGAGTTTGTTAACTGAGATTTTTGCTTATGATGATTAGAAAGCAAAAAACTAAAACAAAAACAAATTTGGAGTTTCAAAATCTTGGTGACTTGCACTTGACTCTTGTTGTACAATGGTCAGACCTCAAGAAAAAGTATTGTTTGCATTGAAAAGGAACAGAACGGGCACAGTGGCTCATGCCTGTAATCCCAGCACTTTGGGAAGCTGAGGTGGGTAGATCACCTGAGGTCAGGAGTTCAAGACCAGCTTGGCCAACATGGTGAAACCCATCTCTACTAAAAATACAAAAATTAGCCGGGTGTGGTGACAGGTGCCTGAAGTCCCAGCTACTTAGGAGGCTGAGGGAGGAGAATCACTTGAACCCGGTAAGTGGAGGTTGTGGTGAGCTTAGATTGGGCCACTGCACTCCAGCCTGGGCAACAGAGTGAGACTCCATCTCAAAAAAAAAAAAAAAAGATTCAGGATGGATGCATGCTCTTGATCCCCTACTCCTGTGTCTGACTGTGTTCTCACATGGTTCTTCTGTGTTCCCTGTGGTCCTTCTGAGTTGCAGAGTACCTGGTATGAGAGATCTGCCCAGCCCAGGTCAGAGGGCATGCTCCTAGCCTACCCTTCCTGGTCACAGGCAGTACTCCTGTATGCCACCTCAGAGCCATCCAATGGCAGTGGGAGGTATGAATCAGGCTTGGTCATAAAGAATGTGCCCAGCCTGACTGAATGGGGTCCTCATTCAGCTTTATATGTAGGAGGTGAAAAACACCCCCCAAGTCACACATACTGTTAATTGTTAGAATTTCTACTCCAACCTGGACATGGCCCCTCTGTCTAGTGCGTTCAGCTAGGAGCAGTTGCAAGGACTTCTTTTTTTTTTTCTCTTGTTCCTATGACTTAGAAGCGTATCTGGAAGGCAACCAAGTGGTTTTCTTGGCTATTTTTCCCCCAGGCTCACACTCTAAACTTGGAATTTCATGCCTTATCACTTCTATGGCAAGGAAAAAACCACAAAAGCCAAGCCAAACCAGGAAGAGATAGTTTATGAATTAAAACTTAGCGCTCTTAGAAAGAAGATCTAAATGACCAGGCTGAACTGCCCACTTAATGGTGTATTTTCCCTTAGCTCCCCCTGGTTTCTTTTGACCTTTGATTGGAGGCTGTTTTTATCGATTTGTTTTAGTGACGATGTTGTTGGGGTGAGGGTAGGAAGTGATTTTCTCACTAAGAAGGGGGTCCTGGGCCCATATTTTTACTTCAGCTGCTCAAATGACAAGTTTAAATAAGGAAAACGATTCTGAAAAAGGAATTCAGGTGGGTATACTATGCAGAGATAAGATGTTTTATTGATTAAAATGGATTGATTTTTAAATTTTATCTTCTGAACTCTTTTTTTTTTTTGAGATGGAGTCTCGCTCTGTTGCCCAGGCTGGAGTGCAGTGGCGCGATCTCGGCTGGCTGCAAGCTCCACCTCCCGGGTTCACGCCATTCTCCTGCCTCAGCCTCCCGAGTAGCTGGGACTAGAGGCGCCCGCCACCATGCCCGGCTAATTTTTTGTATTTTTAGTGGAGACGGGGTTTCACTGTGTTAGCCAGGATGGTCTCGATCTCCTGACCTCGTGATCCACCCGCCTCGGCCTCCCAAAGTGCTGGGATTACAGGCGTGAGCCACCGCGCTTGGCCTATCTTCTGCACTCTTAATGCCTAAAAGCCTACCCCTTAGTGCTATGGTCCAGTGCTGTCCTGGTCCTTGTCCTACATCTGCCTTCTTCATAGGCGGGAGTAGATGTGAGTGTGGGGAAACCTAGCTTCCTTCCTAGACATTGTAATACAAAGCCAATAAACTGGAGGAGAAAATAACTTTCTCTGTCCTGGCTTTTAGGAATTCACTAATTCACAAGTCATTTGGCTATGTTGACACCTATTCCTGGACATTTTTTGAGAACTACTCTTTTCCTCACCTTTGGGTCAATATTAGAGACAAACTTATTAGTGATCAAGGAATTACTGTATAAAATCTAAAATCCTTTGCCTATATTTAAGAGGCATTCTGTGATCTGGCCTTTCTGACTTCAATTCTTAATTTACTTGAAATGAGTAGTAAAACGTATGAGTACTAAAAAGCAAAAGTCTTAGGCAAATATTTGAACTAAATTTTATTGGCATGGATTATTGAAAGTACGGCTGTTTTTCTAGATTGCTTACATATCTAGTTGTCCTTCCTACCAGCTCCCACTGAAGGGCTGCTCAGTTTCACAGTTTCTTGATGTCTAGATAAATAAATAAGCACAAAAACAAAACCCACAGTAATAATTTCTCTTGCTGCTAATCTATTATGAGATCAAGGTCTGACCTGAAGCCTTTGACTTCTAAATGAACACTGAAATCAGCCTCTCTAGGGTATCTAACTATTTCTTCTTCCAAAAGAACTTCAAGAAAGTACTGTGGGAAGTCATCCTTCCCTGAACTCATACCTTTAATCCTTTTTAGGGGATGACGACCAGAAGAGTGGCCTGTGACCTCCTTCTGTCAAAGGAGAAGCTCATTAACTTTATCTTTTCTCTTTCCCATCATTGGTCCGAGGGAATGTCAGAAATAACTATTATTGCCAATGAATTGCAAAGGAATGAGTTTTTATGTCTAGCTTTCAGGTGCCATAATTATCGTAATGTATTATTAAATGTGCCAGATTAAATTTGGTAAATGATACGTCTTCTCTAATTTCTGCATTACTGTTTATTTGTGTTTTAAAATCCAGGGACATTTCATGTAGGACCAGGCTGTGCTGCCGTTGATCACAACTTGGCTTTCTGGAGAATTCCGCTGTGCTTCTGTGATCTCGCTGTGGGCCCCATGCTGGAAGCTCTGCTCCTCTCCCAGTGGGGACTCCACTTCTCATTTCCTGGGCCTTCTGTTCATGATTTGCGGATGTGACAGAGGATGATGTTGGCTCCATCTGGAAAGTGGGTCAGCCAGTCTTCGAGGAGACACCTTGGAGGCCTAGGAATAGTGCTCTGGATACAGATGACATAAGCTTAGAGACAGATAGGAGAGGGAAGAAAGGACTTGACCCTCAGAAAGTGAAATTCAACTTCAGCCTGAAGTGGAGCATTGTTCAAGATAAAGGCTCTGCAAAATGTACTGTAAATGATTCACAACTGTTATTAATGCAAAGATCCAGTTGAAATTCCCTGAAGAAAAATCCATCCTGATCTCAAATGCTACCCCCACAGGCCTGCCAGAGCACCAAACTTTCCACAGGCAGATTGCTGGACCACTGGGCTAAGGACAGTAAGAAGGGCTGGCCGTGTTATTCAGGAGGCAAAGTGTGTTGGCACCTATGGAGACATTTGTTCCGTTGGCTTATCAGATGTGTCAGCCCAGTGACTTGCAAAGGGTGAGAGGGTGGTCATGTAGCCCATGAAGCTCTTTCATTTGGAGCGAAGACCATAGAAGAAATGGAAATTGATAATGATTTATTTCCTTCCTTTCCCTTCCCTTTCTGTTCCTTTGTTTTCTTTCTTTAATTGACCTCAGGACGTCTGATTAACCATAATCCCTGGTTCCATATACTTTAATCATTGGTCCACTTATGATCTCATTTATTTAATTATTTTAAATAGGCACCCATGAGTCCACCACTTAGTACAAAAACTAGGACATTGACAATATTTTGCATTTAAATCTATAGTCCTTCCCTTTCTCATCCTCATATCTCACTCCACCCAAGGGGCTCAGCTACCTCCTGGAATCCTGTGTTCACAATGTCCTTGCTTTTTTTTTAAAAGTGTGAGTATCCCACAGTTTATGTAACTGTTCACCTGTTGATGAGCCCTTAGGTTGTTTTTAGGTTTTTTATATTTAAATAGTGATATAGTAATGTTATTGTACATATCACAGGGTATACATGTGTGAGAACTTCTTTTGGGTATATATCGAGATGGAAATTGCTCATAGAGTAGGTGAATACTTGACATCACAAGATAGTGCAAATTATCTTTCAAAACATACTAATTTTACATTTCTACCAGCAGTGTCCTAGACAATTTGTAGATCCACATCCCCTGCATTTTCTCCATGTCTGATGCCAATAACTTGGGTTTTATTGGACTTTTAACTTTTTGTCAGGCATGTAAGTTTCACTTTATCTCACCGTGTTTTGATTTGCATTTCCACACTTAGTAATGAGGTTGAACATCCCTTTCATGTTTACTAGTCATATATGTTTCTTTTGTTTTGAAATTTCTATTCATGTTTTCTGATCATTTTTCAATTGGGATAGAAGTACTTTTATACTGATATGCAGGAACAGTGATTTTTCTAAAGAATAAAAATCTTTCAAAATTTAAATTTAGGATTCTACTCCCAGATGGATTTACAGAAATGATTTTCTATATTAATATTATTTCTACGTGAGGAAAATCATATTTGCATGTAATATACAGGGAGTATTAATGGAAAACATTCATGACCTTCTGAAAATTATAATCTTTTCAAACATTAATTAAAAAATTTTAAAATTATGAGTACAAAATGGTTGCTTATATTTATCAAAATATGATGTTTTGAAACAGACGTACAATGTATAATGATACATCAGGGTAATTGGGGTATCCATAATCATAAGTATTTATCATTTTTTGTGTTAGAAACATTCCAATTCTACTCTTTCAGTTATTTAAAAACATATAATAAATTATTATTAACTGTAGTCATTCTATTGTGCTATCAAATGTTAGTTCTTACTCATTCTATCTCATTGCACTTTTGCACCCATTAACCATCTCCACTTTATCCCTGACTCCCTGCTATCCTTCTCGGCCTCTGGTAACCATCATTCTAGTCTATCTCTATGAGTTCAAATTTTAAATTTCAGCTCCCACATATGAGTGAGAACATGCAATATTTGTCTTTCTGGGCCTGGCTTATTTCACATAACAAAATAACCTCCAGTTCTATCCATGTTGTTGCAAATGACAAGATTTCCTTCTTTTTTATGGCTGAATAATATTCCACTATGTATGTTTACCATGCTTTCTTTATCCATCAAAAATTACAATCTTAAATTCAACAATTTTCAACCACTGTGACCATTATCATCCCGCCTTCCCCACTCGTCTTTAGTGCAAACCACCATCACCTCTTACTTTGGCTACTTCAACAGCTTCCTAACTGGTTCTTCTGTTTCTTCTCCTACCCTCCCTCATAAGTCTAGATGGCAGCCCCTATGATTTTGTCACTCCTGGAAAAATCTCCCCATGACTTCCCATAAAGCCCTACATGATTTGATCCTTGCCTCCTCTTTCCATCCCTAATTCCCTGGCGTCCATCCATGCAGTTGTTGATGCTATTCCTGGGATAGACTGAGCTTGATCCTGTTGATAGACCGAGCTTGATCAGGGCCTTTATGTTTGTTATTTTTTGCCAGGAAAGTTGTTCTCCTGGGTGTTCCTGTCCATTACTCTTCCACATCATTCACTTGTCTGCTCAGTGCTTCCTAATCAGAGGTGCCTTCCCTGACCTCCAATCCCTTATATATTCTTATTCTACTGTATTTTTTTCAAAGCATTTATTACATCTTAAAATTATGTCATATTGTGTTTTCATTTGTTTATTGTTGTTCTCCTCCGTGGACTGCAAGCACCATGATAGCAGAAACATGACTGTTCACTGCTATATCATTTCCATCTAGAACAATTGGATATCTTTTACGTAGAACATCAAATATATTGTCTAGACTAGGACTATGTCTGGCACATAGTTGATGCCCAACAGATATTTGCTAAATAAAATAAAATAATAGATTATATAGATGAGGAGGCAACCAGAAGTTTCTTGAATTGTTTACATAGATGTTCACAGATAACATCAAATCAGGAAATATAAAACACATATACAAAATGAGTTTATAAGAACTGAGATGATTCTAGAAAATCAAGTGAATTTTTGATTGAATTGTGAATTGTTGTGGGACTACTTAGAGTGGTAGTTCTGATTTTAAAATAAAATTATTGGCCAGATGTGGTGGCTCATGCCTGTAATCCCAGAAATTTGGGAGGCCAAGGTGGGCATATCTCCTAAGGCCAGGAGCTCAAGACCAGCCTGACCAATATGGCAAAACCCTGTCTCTACTAAAAATACAAAATTAGCCAGGTGTGGTGGCGTGTGCCTGTAATCTCACCTACTCAGGAGGCTGAGGCAGAAGGATCGTCTGAGTCTAGAAGGCGGAGGTTGCAGTGTGACAAGATTACGCCACTGCACTCCAACATGGGTGACAGAGCATGACTCTGCCTCAAAAAAAAAAAAAAGTAAATAGAAGAAAATAAAATTATTGAGGTACATTTTACATTTCACCACTTTCAAGTGAAATGAATTTTAGTAATTTCACTGAGTGGTACAGCTATCACCATTACTTAGTATTAGAACATCTTTTATCCCACCAATAAGATCCTTTGTGCCTATTTACAGTTGATTCTTGTTCTCAGTTTTAGGCTTGGGTTGTTACTAATCCACCTTCTGTCTGTATAAATTTGCTTGTTCTGGATTTTTTTTTTGAGACAGAGTCTAGCTCTGTCTCCCAGGCTGCAGTGCAGTGGTATGATCTCGGCTCACTGCAACCTCCACCTGCTGGGTTCAAGTGATTCTTCTGCTCAGCCTCCTGAGTAGCTGGTATTGCAGGCATGCGCCACCACGCCTGGCTAATTTTTGTATTTTTAGTAGAGACGGGTTTCATCATATTCACCAGGCTGGTCTCGAACTCCTGACCTCCTGACCTGCCTGCCTTGGCCTTCCAAAGTGCTGGGATTACAGGTGTGAGCCCCTGTGCCTGGCCTGTTCTGGATATATTTTTATTTTTATTTTTTATTTTTTTTTGAGATGGAGTCTCACGCTGTCGCCCAGGCTGGAGTGCAATGGCGCAATCTCGGCTCACTGAAAGTTCCGCCTCCCTGGTTCATGCCATTCTCCTGCCTCAGCCTCCTGAGTAGCTGGGACTACAGGTGCCCGCCACCACGCCCGGCTAATTTGTTTTTTGTATTTTTAGTAGAGACGGGGTTTCGCGTGTTAGCCAGGATGATCTCGGTCTCCTGACCTCGTGATCCAGCCCCCTCGTCCTCCCAAAGTGCTGGGATTACAGGCGTGAGCCACCACGCCTGACCTGTTCTGGATGTTTGTTATAAGTGCATGGTCTCTTGTGTCTAGCTTCTTTCACTTAGCATAATGTTTTTGGGCTGTGCCCGTGATGCTGCACGGGTTAGTGGTTTGTTCATTTTTACTGCCGAATAGCATTTTGTTACATGGCTGCACCACATTTTCTTTATCCATTCACCGGTTGAGGGACCTTTAGGCTGTTTCCAGGTTTTGGCTGTTATGATCAATGCTGTTGTGAACATTCACATCCACACCTTTGTGTGGACATATGTTTTCATTTCTCTCAGGTAAGTGCCTAAGAGTGGAATTGCTGGGTCATTTGTCAGTTACTATTTAACTTTTGAGAAACTGCCAAATTGTTTTCTAAAGTAGATATGCACTTTACATTCCCATCTGCTCTATGAAGGTTCCTGTTTCTCCACACCCCTACCAACGTTTGTTATTGCCTATCTTATTTATTATAGTCCTTCTAGAAAATGTGTGATGGTATCTCATTATTGTTTTGACTTTCTTTTTTTGTTGTTTTTTTCAAATACCAACTTGAACCCGATGTTTTGATTTTCACTTTTCTAATCACTAATGAGGCTGAATATCTTTTCATACACTTATTAGCCATTTATATATTGTCTTTGGATATACGTCTATTCAGAGAGTTGGCAGTTGTTAAAGGTTTTAAGAAGAGGAAACACGTATTTGTGAAAGTTTTCTCGATAGGATTAGTTTCCACAAAGGCAGATATAGGCCTAGAGTGTGCAAATAACTTATAATGGGAGAGTGTAAACAGGTTAACTTCGTTGGAATGGAGAATCTCCAAAAGGTAGGGAAGAACTGGTGGGATAAAAAAAAAAAAAAAAAAAAAAATCAGTAAATGGTCTTTGTCAGGTTGAAAAATGTGGCATGAGAGAAGTGGTGACAAAGATAGATTGGATTCTGATGCTTAAAACAAGTATTAGGGTTGAATATAT